AATGTCTCTAAGTTATAATATCCACTGAATTGTGAATTCCATGAAAGAACTTTCTCTAGCTGGTGGCACCGATATTTATCGTCCTTGCATGGTGTGTTACGGACAAGTGCTGAAAATCTGAGTTCATTAGTATTTTTAAATCTCAAGCTGATGTTACCTTAAGAATGAACACTGGGCATATGCTAGAGGCTCCCTTTGATTAAGGAAGGTGCATCATAACACTGAAAGCAGCATGGCAGTGAGAAAGTCATGTAGAGATGACAGAAGATATTATGAAGAAGCATCAGGCTAGACTAAATTCTCACTATTGGTTGTGCTACACCACATTTTGCTTATCTTCTAAAAGTACCATGAACAACAAAACACATGTTTAATCCTCATAAACTTTGGTGAGGTTCAAATCTGTGTAATTTTCTGAAGCCCAGGCTTCAATTTCTGCAGYGTTTGGCAACCCTACTAACATCAGCATCAAGGCTATGCAGATGTGAGGCACCTCAGGTGCAGGAACTTCAGGACAGGAAGAAGTGGGAACTTTTACTTTTGCTGCCTGACTTTTCTCTGATGTCTCCTCAGGCTTCCAAACCCTTGATCATGAAGACCAGATTGCTTTGCTGAAGGGCTCAGCAGTAGAAGCCATGTTCCTCCGTTCAGCTGAGATCTTCAGCAGGAAACTTCCTTCAGGACACACTGTCCTTTTAGAAGAAAGAATCCGCAACAGCGGTAAGTATCTTGTTTAATGAGGCAGAACCAAATCAMCCCATTGCACTTCTGTGTCAGTATTTGGGCCTTGGAAAGCTTGTAAGATTGTTCAGTCACATGGAGACAGATTTATCTGAATGTTGCTCTTTATGYTAATTAGAACAAATCTAACAGCCTTGAGTCTAAAGTTCATAAGGTAAAGGTTTCTTTATCAGTTCATTGCAAGTGTTATGAATAATGCTACATCAAATAAACCTCGTGCATGTCTCCAATGCTAAACATAAAAGAGCGAAGAAGAAGAAATATTACCATTTCAAACTGTTCACATGAAGTATTGGTATTTATGCTTCTAAAGGCAATCCCCATAAGAAGAAAAAAAAGRAAAGATTTTAGGATGTTACTGGAGATGACTGAAGGCAAGCACCTATTCTTTGGGTTGTTTTAGTAAAATTGAATCACACTGCACAGGGTGCATAGAAGAATTATAAATACAGCATGTTCAGTTTGTTTTTTGCTTCTYAAGGTCCATCAAAAGCTCAATGAGTCTGATAAATTCCACTGGTTCTAGACATAGATCTTAATGATTATGAAAAACCAAATGGGGCTAAATATTGTTTGTTCCTTAGAGCAGGAGAAGTTGTGTTTTGCATTATTATGCATTCGTGCTCCACCAGTGAAGTACTGACAGTTTTGCCTTTTTCTGTATTGACTAGCAAGATTTATCCAACCCTCAGGTATCTATTACTGAATATTCAAATGGGTCAACAATTCTTAATCAGCGAGTCAGTCTATAGAGTCTGGCTTCGGACTTTCCTTTTTAAGGATCAGAAGAAGAAGAGAAAGAAGAGCACATAACTTCAATATTAGTCATGGAAATGGGCTTAACTCAGTTCAGAAATTACTACTGATGTAAGCCAAAATTAAGCCATAAATATTTGATTCACAGAAAAGGAGTTAGAAAACTTGAGAATAATTCATTAGCTGAACATATGTATTAATTTTGGCTTAGCAAACTCATTTTTAAGTTTATAATCCATAAAAATTTTTATATTTCTTTCATTTTGATTGATTATAAGAGGTTACTGTTTGATGGACTGGAAACAGTGACTTCCAGAGTGATATGAATAGCTTCTGGTCCAGGTTCTGCAGGCAGAAAAGTATGCCAAGAGGGCTAGATGTATTTCCTGGAAACTGTAATGAGTTGTCACAGATCCAAATGTCTTCATTAAGAGATTTTTCTACTGGATCATAACCCACATTTTTGATAAAAATAGGTTTTAGAGAAATGAATCCATATGGCTACATGATTACTGAAAGCTTCCCATCTCTAATCTGTACAGTGAGYATCAAGCTACTTTGTTCAGGGCATTAACTCTTCATTTTAAAAAACCCAGAACCAAGAAACACTTTAATCTAGAACACTGCATAAACCATTATGTCATACCAATAATTTTTCTTTTGTCATAATTTAAAAATATTCTGATATTCTCTGCAATTATTGAATCCAGATGAAATGCAGTATTTTTTGCAAGTTTGTACTTGATTTCATGATAACACAACTGGCTGGATTATTATATGGTATCCTGCCTTAGTATTATTTATGTGACATGCCACAGATTTAAAAAATAACCTTTTGCATAGAAGAGAATTTCAAGACAAGTAAAAATTTCAAATGCGGTATTTTTTTGTTCCAAAGAAGGATTTTCCGCAATTCTTGTTTCTCTGTGGGGGAAAAAACTCTGAAGCAAATTCTTAGGCCAAAACCTCTGGCTGAATTGTTTCCAAGAAATTAAACACAGGAACTTTTTCAATTTGTGTGTGTATAAATATATACATGTATATATTCTTGCRCTTGGAAGAGGCTTTCTAAAAATCTTCCCTCAAGCCAGGATCTAGTTGAAGACATGAGAAGAAATACTGATGTGGGAACTTCTCCCTCCCCATATTACAGGAGGATAATGCATTATCCAGCCTACTGCTGCTGACTGCATTCTTTCCTTCTATTAATGGCCAGAATAGAGAATAAAATAACCTTTCCAATTTATTTTATTTCTCTACATTGTGCAAATTCAGGCCTACTTTAAGATTTTTTCTTTGCTGMATTTAATGGGGCTGTGGCAATAAACAACAAAAGCAGCTTGTAAATCTTTGCGTTTGTAGTTTAATTACTGCTACTGGACCTATTTAACTTTTAAATAAATGAAACTTTGAAAGGGTTTAAAATAGCTMCTACTGAAACAGCTTATTTTTGTGGCTTAAATCCCCATTGTTTTCATGTATCCAAGTTTAAACAAAATGAAAGAAATGCATCCGAAGTCTTCTGTATGTTTACACATACAGCTTTCAATGTTATTTCAATAGTATTTAATATAAATGATATTAAAACTAAAAACATTAGAAATTTTTAATATTAAAAATATTAAGGATTATGCAGTTCACACTCCTGTATGTCATAGGACTCAGCACCAGAGCTCTAGGTTTCATAGTAGCCTGTGCCAAATGTGACAYTAGGGTAAAAATGTATGCAATCTTTTCCTGTCTTAACAAGTAAGGGCAAAGCTGCAGCTGCCCATTATCATGTCATGGACTGGTCCAAGAGATAAAACTGTCGAGAAGTGATTAAACCCTTCTTTTTACATACACCTCTCTGGAAAACAAACAAATACAAACAAACAAACCAATACAAACAAACGAACAAATACACAAACAAAAAGGATAAATGCAGCAAATTGAAACCCACAAAGACAATAGAGAGCATCAGAAAAAATTCAATGATAGCTGTGTGGGAGTTTAAAAATCAAGTTTATAGGTAATAAATGGAAAAACAGCATCAGGATTATTTATGGCTCCTAGAGAGGTCCTAAACATCGCCATACCAGCAGCCATKAATTATTGCTGTTAGTCAGAATTTTTGTCTGTATATTTTTAGGTACATGCTAATGTCTGAATATCACATGAGTTCTATTGTCAAGCTTTGATGCCTGTATCCATTAAATCAGGGAGGGTGCTGGTGATCCTGCTTAAAAGTCACAAGCTGTCCAGATTTCTGTCACCTGCCACTATGTCCACCTTGAAGCTGCTCTCATCTATTAATATTAATGTCTTCTCCAGTCTGATTGTGTGGAATATTTGGGGCTTTTTTTCTGATAAAGAAGTCAGAGATCTGGTGGTGATGACCTTTGAGCATTATCAGCATTCACTTTCATTCTCATGCTGATGAGGTGTATTTTTATTCTTTAGCTTGTGCACATTGCTCAGGTCCTGCTGCACCTCAGAGACTGCCTTTGTTTGTGCCCTAAGTCTTTCTCCATAAGCTGTTATGAAAATTCTTGCATTAGCTGCTCCTGTGACTGAAATACTCTCCTACGCATTCTAATATTGAGACTTAATGAGAAATAAGACATTTTATTTACTGTTATTGAGATTTTGTGCCATTTATTCATCTTATTTGATGTTTCACTATGCATATACCATATTGTGATCGACTGATTCTGTGAAAGGCTGACATCCTAGTAATTTAATGCTTGGTGTTTTTCTGTTATTTTGAAAGCAAATTCTCCCCATTATTGAACAGTAAGGTGTTTCTAAAACAGAGCTGAGACACAGATTTTTTTCTCTGAGCATTTGTAGTCAGTTTTGCTGAAGATACCAGGTTTCGGTGGTCATGAAAAGACAGATTTTTATTTCATCATTTGACACCACAGAGCAGTTCTACGAATTTGAGTATTGGGAAATAAAATAGTATCTGATATTGACATAAAGGGTAGAATGTGGACCCAAATTTTAAGTTGGCAGCAGACATCTGACATTGTGAAATACACTGTTTTCTTCCTGGATGGGTTACAGGTGCTGAAGTACACTCAGATCTAAGGGAAAAACCGGGAATAGCTGCGCTTTCAAAGCATTGGCAAGAGACCACCTTTTGCCATTGAATGTGGGATACAAAGTTCCCACTGATTTGGGTAAGAGGCTCTTGCAACCAAAGGCAAAATTTGGAGTTRGAACATGGATACCTAATAATTTCTATTGGCCTTATCTTTTATCATTTGGTTATTAGTATCGAGCAAGGGTGGTGCTTCAAAACCTCATTGTGCTAGGATTTGTGCAGAGAAACCAAATGATCTTCACTGATATGACCAAAGTATCTAACCCTCGAAACAGTCATGTGCATCCTTGTGGATGGACACACATCATCCTGTGACTCAATGCAAAACCAGCACATTGTCCAAAACATTTAGAAATTTGGATCACTTTAAATTGCAAAATATAGGAAAGAGCTACCTCACTGGTGTCTGGTGCTAGGTTCCTGAATTACACATAAAGTTGCTAAAATTATTTAAATCATATCTACAGAATAGATATATATCCATGAAAGAAAGAACAGAGACCAAATTTCTTTTCTTTTGTGTGTGCTTCTTCAGACCAAAAACTTTTTTAGACTGCCTACAAAGATTAGCTCAAGTCAGTGCAGATGCTTTTTCTGTGTGCCAGACCTCATTCCCTCCCAAGTGCAGGCACTCAGGGTAGGAGGGTATGTGGCAAGGTCATTTGCACCCTCCTTGCAAATTTGGTTTGTTGTTTTGTTGGTTGGTTTTTTTTTTAACTAAGGTTTCTTTGCTTGCAATTATGACTTAGAGGTCCTATGGATTGCTTTAAAGAAGATGGGGGTTTGCTGCTTGGTTGTGAGTTCTGCTCGACACATGCTAACTTCTCATTTAAGCTGGCTATTTAACCCCTGCAAGATGATGGCAGACAGAAGAGCGTGTGCCCATGCTCTGGTGGTCTTCTCTACTGGCTCGATTTTCCCTATTTGGCACTTAAGGGGGTGAATTTGGTCAGTGTTTAAAGGGTCACTGATGCATTTGAATAGCTCAGAAAGGAGAGCTAATAAGCAGCATAAAAAGCAATTCTGGTAGGTGGAATAATGTGAAAGATAAAATGTAAGTTTGTGAGTAATTAGAATATTTTATTGCATAAAGCAGTTACTGATATACCCTTGGTTTCATATTGACTAACACCTCTATGTTTATCAAGGGAGAAAGATCTCTATCTATATTAATAACACAATGCTAGTTACTGTTAATTAGTATTTACTCTCAAGCTTTCTTCTTGCAACAGTTTAATTATTCAGTTTTACAGAACAGACAAAATAGAAGAGAATGCCTTCTCAAAAAGCTGGAGATACTGAATTGATATCACAGTAAAAACACCTATTCTGGAATTATGTAAAACAAATAATTATTCATGGCCTGAAACTTCAAACTATATGGAAGTATCTGTCATCYTACCTTAACAGAGAAATCATAGCAACAAAACTCTAGAAGAGGCAAGGTCTAAWGCAATTCTGTGTCTTCAACTACAGACGGGGATGAAGTTGAGCAAGTTAGGGGTGTTGAATGAATAATGGTCATGGATTTAAATCTGTTCTAGTTTGATGCTGCAAAGCTCAGTAAAGCTTGCATTTCCCACTGACTACGCTCAGGTTTACAGCCAGACATGCATAAATATAAAATAATCAAATGGTCTGCAGCGTCTTCTGCAGGTGATTGAGTTGGGCTGGAAGTTAGGTAGGAATCTGTAACGCAGAAAGATGCCTAATGGMATATGAMGGATGAGCATGTTCTTATTGCCATAATGCTGCATGGAACAAGGTTTTTGAAACCTTCTTTAGACAAGGAAGGAGGCACTATTATCAGCGATGAGGAAGCTCTGTCTCCCCAACAACACTGTGCAGGGCTCTCATCTGACCTAAATATAGAGGGTTAGGAGGAACTAACTTTCCTGTTCTCAGTGAGGCCAGAAATAGAATTTCACCTATTTGATTTTTTTTTTTTCACTTTTGGGTTATAACTTTTAGTAATAACATTGGAAAAATCAYGTAACTCAATTCTTCTCTAGCCTTCCCAGTTGTGAGCAGCAAATCACCTTTAATTCTTGTTCTGATAATTTGACTTGAAGTGACAACATCTCGTAAAGTAGCTAAGAAAAAAAAGTAAGAACTATAAACATCTGTTTCCTGTGTTTCCTAGGTTTTCTTTTTTTTCCTGTTGGAGTTTATTAAAACCAAACTGAAGCATTTGCAATCACATTAGAAAACAGCTCCCTCTTGTGATAGAAAAGCAATTTGTGTAACGAGCATACAGAAAGATGAATAACAGGGAAACGTCAACATAGGTGGGATGACAGCAAAACTACTAACCAAGAAAAGAGTCTATCTGAATCCTAGTTTCAAAATTGCTCATTTTTCATGGTTTTTTTCATAATTGTCTGGTGATTTATATCAGTTTAAAGATTTTGAAGTTCTGTTCTCCTTAGTAAAAGTGGCAAATCACTTGCATTGCTGAAACACCCCTTTTTACTCCCTTTTACCTCTGTAGTTTTGATTTCTCTGTCTGGAGTGCAATAATGCGGCAGTAATTTCATTTTCTTCTGCATCTATATGAATTTTTGCTTCACCCATCCATAATTCAGTTTCTTCATGTTAGTTTGTGAGCTTTCTGGGGCAGGGATCGTTTTACTACATGCTATATCGACAACAGGATTTGAAGAGTTTGGGGTCACCAAAAGCAATGAATTAATCCAACTGAAGGCTAACCTGACCTAAAAATAAAAACTAAAAAAAAAAATAAAAAAGAAGAAAGAAAAAGGGGGAAAAATCAAATTATGAACATGAGAAAGAAAGGATGGGAGTCTTAATCACAGTCCATTTCTTGTTTCCTGTCAAGACAATTGTGCCCAGCAGCACAATACCTTGCACAGAGACTTCTAAAAATAACAAGTTTCTCTTGGACTTTTCTCAGGTTGTTGCTGAGCTACTAACTTCCATAAAAGGAATTCATTTGCTCAGCTTTAGAGCCCAGCTTTTTACCTTTTATTTTGTTTCTGGTTTTACGCAAACTTTAAGACTTCGGTGTGCCAAGTGGGTTACTTACATATTATAAGGAGCCTTGGCATTTAAAACTATCCGGGAGAGAGACAGGTTCCCCGAAATTAGCAATAACAAGTATTCAAAATTTTAAGTAGTTAACGCTGATGACTAACAACATAAGCCTTGCAGCACATTAGATGCAATGGCTATTGTTTGCTCTACAAGAAGCTCCAGATGTGTTACTAACTTCTGCAGGATGAGCTGACCCCCATAATATATATCTGCTTAATTGACTTAGASTCAGTAGTATTGAACTCATTACCAAAACAAGATTTGTGGCTTGTGATCTGAATATAGGTTGCTCCTGTCATGTGTTTAAACACATGGCTCAGCCATAAAATAAACCACACCCTGCAAGACCATTCTTTCACTGTTGGGACACATATATATTCCACTGCTTGAAGTAAATTCACTGTCACAGCAAAATGTGACTGTTTCATAATTAAGCGACTTCATATTTCCTTTCTTTGAGTTCCACCTGCTGAGTTTCAGTTTGAATKTCCCCTATTGGAGGCACTCCAAACCTCACCAGTCCTGGACTTCAGCTTCGTGTTGCACACAATGCTCAAAGCCACATTATTTGATGTGGTTTCCAAAGCAAGTTATCAAGATTTCTCCTAGAAACACTCAAAATTAAGAGTAAATCTACAAGAGATCCTATGGCACTCATCTGTGGGAACAGAGGATGTTTCCATCCTKTCAGCCAAGGAAAGCCGAAAGGCTCTTGCTGCAGAACTACTGGTTTGGATGTCTACACTGTTTCAGAGCTGCAAGCAGCCACTGTCAATAGTCTAATGTCTGCTCTGAGTGAGTCATATAATCTAAAAAAAGAATAATTTTGATGTCACAGGACTTACTTCTCTTTCATGCCTAAGAGTGGGATGGAGTACATCTGTAATTTAAAGCTAACTAAGAACATTGTGACCTGATGACAAAGTCTGATGACAAGAAGAAGCCCCATTGGCATGCCTGAGTTTGGAAACCCCAAAGGCTTTCACTGATGGTGACAGAATCACATGATCCCATCCTTAAATAGGCCTGGATTTTAACTATTTTGGCTCTGTATTTTATAATACATTATTTTATGCTTTAAGGTAGTAGTAGTTGCAAGCAAGTTGATCTTGGACTACAGGTAATCCTAGACCTAACTAAAGTTTCAGGCTACATAAAAGGAGTAATTAAGTGTCTTTATGGAGGCAACTGAAGTAACTGCCCAAGGCAGTTAGCTATAGAGCTGGGCTGGAATTAAGCCATATGCCCTGAGATGTTTCCCTATAACTAATGCAGAGACAGGCAATCCAGGGACTGCCTCGCAAAGAGGATTATTAGCAGACAATGAGGAAACCACATACAAGACTTGTCCTGAAGAGCCAGATGGACAAACCTGCAGAGTAAAATGAATTGTTTGAAAGAAGAACTTTGAAACCATGCAAAAAGAAATTGCCAGTACTTGCCTCTGTCTAGTTTGCTCCAGAAAACAAGGATGTGCTTGCACTTTTGTAACTGTCTTGCATCATGATTTCTGCAGTAGTTTTCTCCCACCACGACAGTCAATAAGAAATATGATATAATTACTGTGTAGCAATAGGCCAGAGTGTTTCAATAATTAAGACATACTATAACTACTTTTTGTCCCTCTCACAGGTATCGCAGATGAATTCATAACTCCCATGTTTAATTTTTATAAAAGCGTTGGAGAGCTGAAGATGACACAGGAAGAATATGCACTGTTAACAGCCATAGTTATCCTGTCTCCAGGTAACTTCTCATCCAGAATCAAATATTAGTGGTTTTGGAAAGAAAGCATGAGGAACATGATGTGAGATTTGTAAAAACTTACATTTTATATGGAGCAAGTGAGCGTACATACTCATTCTGTATATTTAGTTGTTAAACGTGAATGCAAGCACACAAATACAAACTCCAAATGTCTGCTGCACCATTTGGTTTTGCATACAAGAAAAAAACTGCTTAAATAACCTTCTTTAAAAATTACTGGAATCGCTTCACTGCTTAGCACAACAGGCTTCTTCTGTCAGATGTGGCTACATGCTCATCACCACTGAYTATTGCAGAATGACATTTTTTTAGATGCAAATTGGGAAACCCTATAACTTAGAATTGAGTATGGTATGGCAATGAAGGTCTTCAGCCTTTATTGGACAGACACCAGRTGCCAAGAGCAGGACAGTAGCAAGTTGCCCTCTTGACTTTTAAAGTGTCAAGAACAGATCTTTCAGAAGTATTGGCACAATACTCAGCCATGKCTTTGCTGTAAAATCAAATTCTTAACAATCTCTACCTATAAAATATGGAGAATCTRTATAGTGCCTCAAGCAAACTCACCRTCATAGGAGTGGAAAGAGAGGAGCCTGATGCTTCAGGATAAAAGGCAGACACTGAGGTTTCCAAATCAGGTTTCATGGAAGATGGGAAGGTAAAGCATTTCCACCACTCTTTCAGTCAGTGTGCCTCAATAAATTCTTTGCCATGAATAATCCCATCCTCTTTTTTTTTCCTCCCTATCCAAGTATCCAAACACATGCTTCCACAGGAATAAATTAAAAAGACAAGTATTTTCTAACAAAGAAATTTAATCTGAGGATGATGTTTGCTTTTGCCCTGGTGACCTGCTTGTACACTCTTCTCTGCTGGCTAAGTTCTCCAGGATTACTACACCTTCAAGAACTTAGGGTGTTGCTCAGTTTTTGCAATGCATTGCAAAATGTACTGTGGTGCAGAACTGCATGTGGAGATGATGATAGAACTCCAGCAAAACATTGCAGAGTTAAAACACTTCAGTGTTTTTCAGAAGGTCACAAGTTTTCTCTGGCTAGAAATGGGAAGCTTACATGAAAATCCTAAAGCAAAAATACAGTGTGGAAACATCAATGGGAACATCAGTGGCCAGTGTAAATATTTTAATATTTTTATATTAACTTATCAGAGCAAATAACTGCAACGTATCAGAGAATATATTTACTAATTACTTCTTTTCTTTAATACCATAACCAGATCGCCAATACATAAAGGACAGAGATTCTGTGGAAAGRCTTCAAGAACCACTGCTGGATATTCTACAAAAAGTCTGCAAACTTCACCACCCGGACAACCCTCAACACTTTGCATGTCTTCTGGGTCGTCTCACAGAATTACGGACATTTAACCATCATCACGCAGAGATGCTGATGTCATGGAGAGTGAACGATCACAAATTCACACCTCTTCTCTGTGAGATCTGGGATGTGCAGTGATGGATACTTTTAAATTTTATTTTAGGAGAAATATCYTTTTAAAGGGCCACATAACATTTATTTTCATAGAAAAGTATCCCATGGTGCATTATATTTTCTTTATTGCATTTTTATAGAAACATGCCATGGATTCATGAAAGTAATTTTGTTCACTGTGCACAGAATATTGTATAGCTATCAGATCCTCACACGTGACAACAACTTTTTTTCGTATTTATACACTCTGATCAGAAAGAGCCCACCAGCCCTTCAAAGGCACCCAATTAATTCCTGTTGCAATTAAGCTGATTGCAGTTACAGTTCCTCTGTGAAGAAATGAGGAAATACAAGTTTCCATTCATATTTTTTCACTGAAGTGTTTTTTTTTGTACTTTACCTCTGTCAAAGAATACATTCCAGATAGCTACGGTAATGAACCAGCCAAAATGATTAATGCCATAGTCATTTGCTGTTCAACTGTGAAATGTGTTCATGTAAGGTGTGCAAGATGTCATTTCTTCACAAGATAAAAATTATGTAATGGAGAAAAACCATACACACACACAAAAACTCGTTTCATGATATAACGTGTAACTTCATTTGCATTATTATTTCAAAGTAAATATAGAGTACCTCTGCTTTGTGAAAGTGCGTCACAGGTTATTTTGAGTTTGGTTACTGGTGGCTCTGAAAAATACCCTCGGCAGCATCCATGGAACAGGTATGTGTGTCGCTGCTGTGCACGGCGGTGCGGATGCCGCCGGGACCTACAAGTGGGCGGGGGGCTTTTCTTGTGCTGGGCTCTGCTGAGCAGACAGCGGACAGGATGAGCCCGAGCCCTGCCGAAGGCTGCGGGCCGGAGCGCCTCTGCCCTGGGGCCCCTCCGGCTCCCAGGTCCCGGGAGTGCGGAAGGGCGATGCCGCAGCCCGCGGGCGATGTCCCAGGTCCCGGGAGTGCGGACGGGCGATGCCGCAGCCCGCGGGCGATGTCCCAGTCCCGGGAGTGCGGACGGGCGATGCCGCAGCCCGCGGGCGATGTC